AATTACAGGCCTCTCTCATCTTTTTAAGTGGGAGAACTTGCACAATTGGTGGCTGACTAAATACTTTTTTGCCCCACTGTATATCTCATTGTTGCTAATAGAGATGTTTAGAGAAGGCATGTCAAAAAATCAAGGTGATCATGTATCTCAAGCTGCATTTGCTTTTTACATATGTGGTCCTTATAATAATTGTAAAAAAAGGATGGGCCTTTGATCACCTAGCTGTAGGCACCATCTTGACATGAATACCCCTGATTGCTAGACCTAAACTATCTGGTTAAGAACAGGACTGTCCCTGCTCCCCTTTCTAATATACAATTGTATTTTGATTTTTAGCAACAGTTGGCCAAGAATATTAAATTTGGCCAACCCTCACAAATGACAGTATCTGTGAAGGCAACTGGGGAGGCTAGTGCAAGTTTGGAAGCAGATGTGTTGCTGAATAACCCCATGGAGACAGTGATGCCATCAGATGTGGTCCTTCCAGAGAACCACCGTAAAGTAAGTGTAATTTATCTATAAGATGTGAGGAGCCAATTACTAATCTCTCCAAAATGGATTAAGACATAAATATGGGTATTGAAGATGTTCAGTGACATTAACTGATGACAAATTATGTATTAAAAAAAAATCCAGCCCTTAGTAGACTTTCAGACAGTGGTGGTCCTAGAGCTTTTAGGACCTTGAGTAAGAATATAATTTGGAACTCCATATATGATTGATATTTGTTACCTGTCAGACTAATATATTTGATTTCTCAACCCATGACATAGCCATGAAAGTACAGTTATCAAAATTCATAAATGAAAGCAAACAACAAAAACTTAAATTCTGTTCTTCATTTATATCTTTGTGATGAAGACATCATCCTATCTTCAGAGAGATTTCTTTTTGATTTACTGAAATTTTACCAATGTTAGAAACCACCTCATGTGTAGGGCCTTGGACAATTGCTTGATCTGCACACTCCTAAAGCCTCCACTGCTTATAGATCATATGTAGTGTCACCATTGTGTCAAAGTGACCCCTCTGGTGATCAAATTAGGTGGGCTCTTACAATGGTGCATTTTATCTTTGAACAGGAAATGTCACTTTAGCCCAGTGAATGCAAAGCAGTGGTCTTTGCTTTCATTAGTGGACAACCTTGCCTCCCAGTTCTTGAACATCATAGTAATGTACTGACACAATTGGAAAAGATACCCAAATACAGAATTGCTGATATGCCAGCAAGAGAAGTTGCAGGGTTTTGGAAGGGAAGAGAGGTTCTTGCTGTGAAGATTAATTTAAAATTTTCAGTGTTTCTTGTTTATATTTTAACATTGATTTCCCTCTCATATTCTCCTTCAAATAGCTTCTTGAGATTTCTTGCAAAAGGAACCACAAATTGCCTCAAATACATATTCAGAAATACACAGCACGTAGGAGAAGGGAATGTGTTAGCCATTTATCTTCTTTCTATTTTCTCAATGGGGGAAGCAATGCTTGTTTAGGCACAAATCTGGTGAAATCTAGCAGTGTGGTAAGGCACTCAATAATTGACTGGCCTGGAATGATAGCAAGCAAATACTGATTAGTTGACAACATTCTCCCTCTTGAGATCATATTGGCCCTGACTCTATTGACCTTTTGTAAGGCCCTAAAGACCTGGTTCTGTGCTTAGACCTGGGGCCCTGAGTATATGAAGGGACTTGTCTCCTGTCTATGTGGATGATTGTTGTAGTTTTCTCAGCTACTGTATATTTTAATTTTTGCATATGTATTTTTTTACCACTATTTGATTCCCAAAGTCATTTGTTGAGATGGATGGTTATATAAATTAATTAATTAATTAAAGTTCTCTGCCCTTAAATATTGGCCAGAAAGGGCAACTGCTGATTGGATAACAGTTCTCTGCAACTTATAGATCAAATTTTCTCAACTAGGGATCCACAGAACCCTGTGAGAGATCACTAGAGGTTCTGCAAGAGGTCATGACTAAAAAAAAAAAAAGATTGTACTGTTAGTTGTAAATGTAATTTTTATGCAGGAGTTTCCTGATCCCTGACAATTATTTCCAGGGTTTCTCCAGGTAAAAAGTTTGAGAAAGGCTGTTCTGGATTCACAAATGTATACCATATTCATAGCATTTTGGTGTCTGAATAGATCTACAAATAATCAAAACAACCTAGATCAATCTCAAGTCAAACTGGGTTGATAGGATTGAGAAGGTTCTAAGGGACATGTGATAGAGTCTAATTGATAATAACATCTTGACTTTTAGAGCATTTCAAATTACTTGTACTGTTGTTGTTCAGTCGTTAAGTCGTGTCTGAGTCTTCGTGACCCCATGAACCATATCGTGCCAGGCCTTCCTGTCCTTCACTGCCTCCCTGAG